TAATAAACAGTTTAGCAGTATTGGCAGCAACCGAATAAATTTACTAAGCAATCTAAGTGAAATGGTTAATCTAAGTGAAATTACGAGTAAATTTATCATCAAGTTAAATATGGAAAATCTTAAACTTACCTCGTTGCGCAGAGTATGAACCTCATTCTGCAACGATACTACCATCTCACGTAGAGCGGCAACCTCACCACGTAAAGTAGACACCTCCACACGCCATGCACCATCGTTATCGCGTAGAGTACCGATCTCCTCACGCAAGGCATTGACCTCATCACGTAACTCCCTTGACTCATCCCGTGGAGGTGGAGAACAAGGAGATAGAAGTCGTGGCATCTTTGTCGGTCGCCTATCATGAGGTGATGGTGGAGAAGAGGCTCGATGATGTGACGGGATAGGTGATGGCTCTTGTTGTAGAGGTGTATAGTCGGGTAGATCAGGTGATGGCTCTGGGTATGGCTCTCGAAGTGGAGGAAGTGGAGGCTGCTCATCATTCGTGCCATCAAAAAACGCTGACTAGCTTGCCACCAATCAGTGGAAAGCTCATCCTCCGTGGGTGTCAGTCTCATTAATGGAGTGTTGGCCTCCTAAAAATATAAAAACTCAAACAAAGTTAAACGTCTACTATTAATAACTTGTTTATATATGATAGTATTTGTGTTAACTTACATTATTTATTGTCGCATATGGTATTAAGTCTTCCCAATCCAACAGACGTTTCCTCTTCCAGGAAATAGCCATAGGAATATCATTTGAGGTTTTTAATGCATATGTCCGCATGCTGGGGAAAGCCTCGAATATCCAAATATACAAACAATATAATAACAAACATTAGTAATTGTTAAATAATTAATTATAATTTTGAAAACATTATATATAAATCCTTACCTTAAAGGCCCAAACAAAGCCTGACAAAGTGTATTTCGACCCATCGCCCCGCAAACTTTTGCGGTCATCAAAGGCAGACGACAACTTAGTCCAGGTAGCTTTCCATATATACGAACCCCACGGAAATAGATTTCATGCATTTAGGTCATCTACCAATAAGTTTAGCTCCTGAGGAATAGGTTGTCTGGCCTCTCTGCCTAAAAAGCCGGCATACAAAAGTAGTAGAAGGCATACTCGGACAACATCGACGTCATTCATCCGAGTAAAACCATCTTTTTTATTAAACAATTTCTTTATGTCGTCAACATGTAAGTTCGGCTTCTCTATTGACTCATCAGGAAAAACCCTGGATAACCATGATGGGCGGGTGATATGACGAGTGTACCGGCCTACATCATCGTGTCCGAATCGTAGACCAGTGATTAAGCAGAACTCCTTCCGCCCAAAACAAGTATACGCCGGTGGAAAATGAAACCATATCTCTTCCTCACCACGTTGTATACTGTCGGGTAGATCGCTAGTCATGGTCTGAAGCCACAAATGGGTCAAATTAGCATCTCCACCCGGATGTTGTACTCTCAGCCATGGCCCGAAGCAGGTTTCCTCAAACAATTTTCTTTGTGCAGGTGAAAGCTTCGAAGCAATTGTAGTGGCTAGGCTAACTTTATTCCTTAATGTCAATGAAGCCGAAAAAAATTTCTACAAAAACAATAAACATACCAAGTTAGATATACCAAAAACTACACTGTGAAGATATACAAAAAACAATAAACATAAATAGTAGTTTATTATTGAAACTAAAATTTGCAACACTGTTTTGTCTTTTGGTTGAAATGAAAATCGCAACGAGAGAATGAAAATCGCAACGCGGAAATGAAAATCGCAACGAGAAAATCGCAATGCGATTTTGGTTTCGCGTTGTGATTTTCATTTCGCGTTGCGATTATCTCGTTGCGATTTTCATTTCGCGTTGCGATAGTCATTTCCGCGTTGCGATTTTCATTCTCGAAACTATTCTTCTTCTGCATTACTTCAACCAAAAGACAAAACAAAGACAAATACTAACTTCACAAGGTTAAATACTAAACAGTTTAGCAGTATTGGCAGCAATCGAATGGATTTAATAAGAAATCTAAGTGAAATGGTTAATCTATTATTGAAATTACCAGTAAACTTATCATCAATTTCAATATGAAAAACCTAAAATAATGCAAAAATTTCAAAATAAAATAATTAAAAAAACTAACTCTCGGAGGTTGATTTTCCATTTCTGAATTATTGTGAGGGATTTCTGACCGTGAATGGTTGTGAGGGATTTCGCCGGCGATGGGGACGGAAATCTTCGGAGATGGGGACGAATTTCGCCGTAGAGAGTGAGAGATGGAGATGGGACCGAGTGTTGTGATTTTAGGTTTGAGGTTATGAGTTGCGATTACTGTGGACGGTTCAGTTTACGATATATTAAGAAAAAATTCGTGTTTGGAATTTGAAAAAAAATACGCGTTAATACGAATGGCGCTATGTAAATCGCATTGCGATAGTCAGATTCGCATTGCGATTTACGTATTTGCATTGCGATTTTCCTAATTCGCATTGCGATTTACTTAATCGCGTTGCGATTTACGTATTCGCATTGCGAATTATGAAAATCGCAACGCGAATACGTAAATCGCATTGCGATTTTGTATTATCGCGTTGCGATAGTCAGTATCGCATTGCGATTTACTTATTCGCATTGCGAATTGGGAAAATCGCAATGCGAAATTGGAAAATCGCATTGCGATAGTAATAATCGCGTTGCGATAGTAATAATCGCGTTGCGAATCTAGAAACTGATTTGCGATAATGGAGATCGCGTTGCGAATTAGCGATCGCATTGCGATTTTGTTGGTCATTTTGGCAAATCCGGAAAAAGTTAGTTAAAATCGTATATTATATGAGATTTTTGGTTACTGAGGTTATTTTCTCTTATTTTTAAATATAAAAAAAAAACTTGATCTAACATTGCAAACAACCTACATGCAACTGCCCGAAGCTTTTTCTATTAGACTCAATAAATGTGAAGTTTTATTTATTCAATGTTTGAATGATTTAAGAAGATTTTACTATTTTCTTAATCTAATAAGCCAGTGGTCGTTATCAACGCAGACCTACATAAAGATAAACAAAGCTAATACCAACTACTACAAACGTTGAATATTCGAAGGCCCCTGGAATTGATGGGAAATTGTAACTTGAACACCAAGTCATAAACAGTCATCCATTCACACACATAGAAAGCATTAACAAATTAAAGGGGCGGGGTCTTTAGTTTTTTATTTCCCTTTTTTTAATTGTTTGAAAGAATTATAAATTTATATCTATTTATAGTCCTTTCTAATATCGACAATACACGCATATACTACAGACATAACTATTGAAATTTAGTGAAGTTTAAATTAATCCTTATTTAATTTCAAGTGGATGCATAGATCAATGGGGAACTCGAACTTCCAATGTTATTGATTCATTTGATTTTAGTCCATTATCCATTAATTTTCATTAACCCCATTTTGTTCAAGTCTCTAACATGGCTGAGAGACTAAAATCGAATGGATCAATAATGTTAGGGACTAAAACGAACGGATTGATAATGTTAGGGACTATTTCCCCTTAATTTTTAAATTGATGACCAAAATCGATCAGATCAAAAACATAAGTAACTGTCTATATAATTTACCCTTTTATGTAATATAAAAAGAATCAGAATGGTTTCTATTACTGACTAAACCTATTCTACTATTTATCCCTTCTCATCAACCTTAGAACATATTTTCCCTATCCTTTTGATTTTTTTCTTCTTTGTTTGATAGGCGGAGATGACATTAGTTTTAGTGTTGGTCGTCCATCGTCTATACTTAATGTTTCTTTATTTTTTATATTGTATTTTGTTTTGTAATTTTCAATAATTTTACCTCTATGACACGTTTGCTTTTGTATTTTGGCACCTTTTCGGTCGGTTGATTGTTAGTTTTTATTTTGTTTAATGTTCTTAAAGTTGGATTTGATGATATCTATCGACTGATCAAGCAGGTGTTTATTTGTTATTTTGTTGATCTTCTCTATTGGACCCTCGTTTCTTTAAATTTTAGATAGATTTTCATTTTTTCTATATACAATCCTTATATTACTTTAAGGGGACGTTTGGTTCGCAGAAAAGATCATTATTAAGGGGAATGATATTTTCTGGAATTGTAATCCTTGTGTTTGGATCATGGAAAAGATCACTATCAAGTAGTAACTTATTATTAATAGTAGCACTTTTGGGTTAAAATGGTGGGAAATGTCATTACTTCCAAATTCTTAGGTAATGAATAATTCCCACCATTTTGGACATAAATACCCTTGACATAATAAATTTTTTCATGTATATCCTTCTTAATTCTCATTCTTGGTGTTTTACTCAAAAATATAAACTTAATAATAATAATAATATACAAAGAGTTTAATATAGTAAAATATTAATACATTTATGTAGTTAATATTAATTTATATTTTTAATATTTAGTATATTAATTATTTTATAATTTTACGAGGTGAAAATATTTTTATGATAAAAATATAATTATTTAAAATAATATTTAATTTTGAATTAATAAACCAAACAATTTAATACAATATTACCAAAGTAAAGTTACATTTTAATCTTATTCCCAAAAGACTTAAACTTTAAGTATCAAACTTTAAATCCTAAATTTCAAATCTCCAACTCTAAACCCTAAATTCTTATCTTAACTTTCGTGAATCAAACCTCAAAGTTATACATGAGCAACATGCAAATGCAATATTGTCTTTAGCAAGTTGCTAAAGGGTGCTTAATTTGCCTAATAGTTTCCTCCATTTTCTTAATCTAATAAGCCAGCAGTAGTCGTTAATGGCGGCATAGATAGAGACAAACAACTCTACTAAGGTCGAATAAACAAAGACCAAATGACTACTTTCGAAATTGCATAGAAACTTCCTGCAGGGATCGCGTGGAAAATCACTAACTTCAACAACAAGTTATAAGTCATAACCACTTCTCCATTTCCTTCTCGATATATATATATATAGGGAAATTGAAGTTCTTAAACACTTGAACTAAGTTGCAGAAAAAAAAAATGGTGATGATGGGAGAAATGTGGAACTTAGGGTCCACCATGGGTACTTTGATGCTTGTTTATACCCTCTTCAGGCAGTTTTTTCCTCATCATCTTCAGCTCTATTTCGAAAAATATTTCAGAAAAGTTAGTGGTTTTATATATCCTTACGTAGAAATTACCTTCGATGAGTTCGCCGGCGACTTTTTTAAGCGCAATGAAGCCTATTCGGCGATTAAATCTTATCTCGGCGACAAGTCGTCGGCGTCGGCGAAGCGTCTCAAGGCCAACGTCGTGAAAGATACTGAATCCGTGGTCCTTTCCATGGATTATAACGAAGAAGTCACCGATAAATTTGAAGGCGTTAAAGTTTGGTGGTCGGCGAACAGAACTCTTCCCAGCACTCAACGGATTTCATGGTTTTCCGATGACGATGAGAAGAGATCTTACACGCTTACGGTGCATAAACGCCATCGGGAATTGATCACGCGGTCTTATATTGGTTATGTGTTGAAGGAAGGGAAGGAAAGGGCGACGAGGAACCGGCGGCGGAAGCTCTATTCGAACAATCCGAGCCATGATTGGCATGGATATCGGAGGAGCAAGTGGAGTGATGTACCGTTCGAACATCCGGCGACGTTCGATACGTTGGCGATGGATTCGAATTTGAAAGAGGAGATCAAGAACGATTTGATCAAGTTTAGTACTGCAAAGGACTATTATGTTCGGATAGGGAAGGCTTGGAAACGTGGATACCTTCTTTACGGTCCTCCCGGGACCGGGAAATCTTCGATGATTGCCGCGATGGCGAACCTATTGGATTATGATGTTTACGATCTCGAACTCACTGCGGTGAAGGAGAACGCGGAGTTGAGAAGGCTTTTGCTCGATACGTCGAATAAATCGGTGGTGGTGATCGAGGATATCGATTGCTCCCTCGATCTCACGGGCCAAAGGGAGAGAAATAAAACGGAGAAAGACAAAAAAGACGAAGATCGATCGGACCCGATCACGAAAAAGATCAAAGAAGACGAGAAAACAGAAAGTAAGGTCACATTATCGGGGCTTTTGAATTGCATCGACGGATTATGGTCGTCTTGCGGAGGCGAAAGGATCATTGTTTTCACAACAAATTATGTGGAGAAACTCGATCCGGCATTGATAAGGAGAGGAAGAATGGATAAACACATTGAACTGTCTTATTGCTGCTTCGATGCGTTCAAGGTGTTCGCCAAGAACTACCTGGAGATCGATTCTCATTCGTTGTTTGGCGAAATCGAAACATTGTTGGGCGAAACCGAAATGACTCCGGCCGATGTTGCGGAGAATTTGATGCCGAAATCGAACAATGACGAAGTTGAAACTTGTTTAAGCCGATTGATCGAAGCTCTTAACGATGCAAAGAAGAAGAAGAAGGCAGAGGATGAAGCTCGTTTAATGGCGGAGAAAAAAGAAGAAGAAAACAAGGAAGTGAAAGAAAATGGGGTGGCAACGGCTGCCGATGAAGTGAAAGAAAATGGTGTCACCGTCAGCCATTAGTATATGAATTGATCAATGTTCTTATTGTTATTTGTATTGGTTTGTGTTTAGCTGGTGGAGATAGATTTGTTTAAAAAATAAGATTTTAAATCCATGTAGTGATGTGTATAGACATAGTGTATTGAATTCGATCGTAAATTTAGAATTTATTAATCCTTCTTACCTTTGATTAATCAAGTCATGTGGAGATGATAATTTAACCCCAAATCGATAGATTATAACTTGATCTGATTCGATAGAGTCCGTTTTTAAAAAGAATCAAGTTTGGTCAGGGTCAGATTTTATAAAAAAGTGATATCGATCGATTCGGGTTATTATGGAGGGTGAAAACACTCCGACCCCGAGCATGAAAATAAAAGAATGACATAAATTATGGATCACTTAATTATATATTCAAACCATGTTTTAATTATTAAGTTTTTAAAGATTTATAAAATAATTATTAAATTGATGCTGGTTTGTTCTTTTATACTTTGTTAACTTGGTGTTCAAGTTACAATTTCCCAACAAGACAATCATATTGTCACTTTTTTTGTAATAGAAAGGGCCTATGATAATAGGCTAAACACTAAATATTAGTGGCTCGGTGAAGGGTTCGAGCATCAACATAAAGCAGGTCGGTGACTTCAACCGGGTGGAGTAGGCTGAAGTGCTGGGAAGGGGCGAGCTTGGCGAGACGGGCAGCAACTTTTTTTTCTGTTGGAAGGATCCATTGAAATTGGACCTCCCACGCACGAGAGCTTAATCTAGAAATTTCTCGGACTAGTGAGAGGTGATTGTGTTCAGAGTTGGTAGCAGAGAGAAGCATGATGACCTTCATAGATTCCCCAGAACTCAGCCTGGAGGACGAAGCTTACTCCAATATTCTAGTAATACTCGTATTCCACGCAACATTGAGTCCTTCATAGCATTGTCACCTTTTATTTAGTTACAGAGAGATCCACTAGATTAGTGGTTAGGACGGTCTAGCATATGAGCCGGGTCATCATTGAGGACATGTTGAACTTCCTGAGGAGTTCGAGTAATCGGTATGAGCTCCATATTCCTGTGATAGCCCAAGTGAGCAAGACAATCGGCGAGTCTATTCACTTCACTAGATTAGTGGTTATTGCTGTTAGGACAAAGGCTGTTCAAACTGTGAGTGATTACAGTTGTAACGGTCGCCATGTTTTTACTCGGACAAGGGAGCTGCAGAGGCCACTCGTTGGTTCGATTTTACAGAGTATGTGGGGAGTGACGCCGACTCATTTGATATGGAGCCCTACACATGATAGTACGCTGGTGGATTACACATGGAGTGTTGGTCAAACACCTTTTGGACCATTTTCAGAGGTTTCTACATTGTCCTTCGTGCAGAAGGATGCGGCTCGGAGAAATTTTATTTTGACGTCATTGAATTACAGTATAATGGGTGCTATTGATGCACATGGTGGAGATAGAAATCTTCTTTAAACAGAAGCAGCATGTTGAGTTCATACAGAGGTGGCACTTGTTCAAGTACAAGCTGGACAAAACAGTTTCGGCTCTGTCACATTTTGACTTCGACATGTCATTCTATTACTTGAAGTCCTCAGATCATGATCTCTATGCTATTCATGATCTTGTTTACAGTACATCACAAGAAATCGAAGCATCACTTATTTGTTTCAAGGACCTCAATAAAATACCATTGTCTCAGCTCGAGTTTGTCTTGAAATGAATTTGAACTGTTCGAGTTCGGACCGACCTCGATCAAATACAAGTTTAAGCCCGAGTTTGATTTGAAATATAATTGAACTATTCGAATTTGATTCGATTAAGCTTGTTTATGCTATTTACATGCTCAAACTCGAGTTCGAGTTTGAACTAGTCCTACACATTTTTTATAAATTGGTGCCAATTTCAATACTAAAATAGGCCAACGAAACCTTTTGAAAGTTATTTTGAATCAAAAGTAAAAGAAGAGTTGAAAAATGGGTAGTAGAAGCCAATCAAATTAGTACAAATTAATTCGGTTTAATTAAATATATAAACACTTTGAAAATTCAATTAATTCTTTTGATTTATAATCGATTATTTGAACGCTGATTATTACTTGTTACGGTTCAAAATAGAAGCCCATGACCAATTGACCACAATCATACGCAGAAATGAGTATGAGATCCGAACTCGACGGATTTTGACCCGATCTGATCAAGTCGAATTTTTTTAAAAAAAATCGAGTTCTAGTAGATTTTTTTAGAGGTTATATTTGGATCGGGTGAAGTTCAGGTTTAAAGTGAAAAATACTCAATCTAAAAAATATAATTTTAACTTATATTTTTAGGGGTAATTATAATAATATGTTAATATATATATATATATATATATATATATTTCAATTAAATATCTATTTTATCGAATAAAAGTAATATTTTTAATAGATATATTATTTCGGGTCGGATTTAGATTTAATTTCAAAAGGATGGATCAGGTTTTGATTGGGTGGAATGTGTATAATTTTTTGATCGAATCGGATGAATAAAAACCCGACACGATCCCTAATCATACGAACCTCGACTTGATTCATTCGGTTATAAAAGCTTGTAATTTTTATTTTTGTCAGTAAATTAGGATTCCATCATTTTTTTACATGAAAAGGAGGGAACTTTTGGTCAGTTTATGCAAAGCATGTAACGATGGGAAATCAACAGCAAACTTACATTCACAAATTCTCAAAACTGGGTTTTCCCACGATAGTTATCTCACCACAAAGATCACTTCTTTGTATGCAAGCTTTAGTTCCATTGAAGATGCTCAAAAACTGTTCGATGAAACGCCTCAAAGAACTGTTTATCTGTGGAACTCAATTCTTAGAGCTTATTCAAAGCATAAGCAATGGAGAAAAACTTGGGTTTTGTTCAAAAACATGGTATCTGATGAAAAAGGGGTGAAAGATGTGCCTGATAATTATACTCTGGCTATAGTTTTAAAGGCTTGTGCAGAGTTGCAGCTGCTTAAACAAGGGAAGATTTTACATGGTTATTTGTTGAAACATGAAAAGATTAGATTGGACTTGTTTGTGGGTTCCGCTTTGATCGAGTTTTACTCGAAATGTGGTGAAATGAGTGATGCTTCCAAAGTTTTTGATGAGTTTGAGAAACCTGATGTTGTTTTATGGACTTCAGTGGTAAGTGGGTATGAGCAGAACGATTGTTTTGAAAAAGCTGTAGCTTTTTTCTCAAGAATGGTAGTCGAGGAGGGCATCGATCCGGATCGTGTAACGCTCGTTAGTTTAGTTTCGGCCTGCGCTAAGTTGATGAATCTTAAGCTCGGCAAAAGTGTGCATGGCTTTGTTATTAGGAGAGGGTTTGAAAATGAATTATCTTTGGTTAATGCATTGTTGAATTTGTATGCAAAGACAGGTATAGTAAAAGCAGCAGAAGATTTGTTTAAGATGATAGAAGGGAAAGATGTTGTAACATGGAGCGCGATGATTGGTTGCTATTCTCATAACGGAGCTTCTGTCAAAGCATTGGAGCTTTTCAACGAAATGATCAACAAGAGATGTCAACCGAACACGGTTACTGTCGTTAGTGCACTGCAAGCGTGTGCTGTTGCCTGCGATTTAGATGAGGGTCGGAGGATTCATGAACTCGTAACTGAGAGAGGTTTTGATTTAGAAGTCTCGGTTTCAACCGCTCTGATCGATATGTACATGAAGTGCTTGTCACCTGATGAAGCTGTTAATGTCTTTAGCAGAATGCCCTGGAAAGATGTAGTAGCTTGGGTTGCTTTGTTGAGCGGTTATGCTCTAAACGGGATGGCTTATAAGTCTATCGGGATCTTCAGAGATATGCTGTCTAGTGGAATCCAACCTGATGCTGTTTCTATGGTAAAGATTCTTGCTTCTTCTTCGGAGTTCGGTATTTTTCGCCAAGCCGTATGCCTTCACGGTTACGTCACCAGAAACGGCTTCGATAACAATGCTTTCGTTGGGGCTTCTCTCATAGAGTTGTACTCAAAATGTGGCAGCTTGGATTATGCAATAAAAGTGTTTGAAGGAATCATGGACAAGGATGTTGTTCTATGGAGTGCTATGATTTCCGGCCTCGGAATCCACGGACAAGGCAAAGAATCATTAAAGTTATTTAACCAGATGGTCAAGAGCTCGACATCTAAGCCGAACCATGTCACGTTCGTATCCATTTTATCTGCCTGTAGCCATGCAGGTTTACTTTCGGAGGGGATCGAAATATTCCATACGATGGTAAATAATTACGGATTGGATACTGGCTCAGAGCATTACGGCATAGTTGTCGATCTCCTCGGCCGTACCGGAGAGTTAGACAAAGCCGTGGACATTATCAACCGAATGCCAATTCCGGTTGAGCCACATGTTTGGGGTGCCTTGCTCGCCGCATGTCGGACTCATCACAATGTCGAGATAGGTGAGCTAGCAGCGAAGAATCTACTCGGCTTAGACTCTAACCATGCAGGCTATTATATTTTGTTATCCAATATGTATGCTGTTGATGGTAAGTGGGGCAATTTGGCACAAATTAGAACATTAATAAAGGAGAAAGGGTTGAAGAAGATGACAGGGCAAAGCATGGTCGAGATAAGGAACGAAATCCATAGCTTTGTTGCTGATGATAAGCTTCATCCTGAATGTGACAAGATTTATGAACTTTTGGGACAATTGGGGGTGATTATGAGATTGCAACTAGAACATGTTTCCGGAATTCTTTCAACGTATTATTGACGTAATACTTTCACATGTGTTTAATTATTGATAAAATATTTTTGTTGGTATACCTCGAAGGTTCTACATTATTCTGAGTGTGATATAGACTGAGGAAGTTTAAATAGCGACAGTCTAATTTAGGGTCAAAAAATGATGATTTTCGACGCAATTAAAAAAGTGATAAAAATAATTATAGGTTAGATGCAACCTAAAATGTTACACTTTTTTTGAACATTTTATGTTGAATAAAAAATGTTGTCTTCTTCTTAACATTTTCGGTTGACTTTTTTTAAACCGACAATTGCAATGTCAATACCTAGCCTTTCCATAACTTTGTAATATTTAGTTTTACACAGATTTAAGACCGATAGATGCATACAAATAAACAATTTAGATTAACAGTAAAAAATGAGAAAAAAAATCACTAAAAAAAGAGTTAATCTCAGTCTTCTAATTTCACTAATCTAACGATATTAAATTTATATAAAACTAAAATAAAATTACACTATATAAGTCACAATTCATGGCCTCTCTTAATTGTGCCAGTAAGCTCCAAAAAGCATATAAGTCCATGATTAACATAGGCTATAATTGAAAAGTCTACCAATTTGATGGAATATCATCTCATAAAAATATATTGGATAAACTACGCATTTAATACTTAAACTATTAATTTTAATCCCAACGTTTTATTTTGGAGCGAAAAGTCTACCACCGTTTGCTCAAATGGTCACTTAGCCCCTATCATTTTTTGGAGCATTTTAACTCCCAACGTTTTATTTTGGAGCGAAATACCCTTGAGTGGTTCGAAATCGTTAATTGAATAACAATCAACGCTTTCTATTGATGTGATAGATTCACGTATGATGCCACATCATCAAAAAAAATTAAACTACTTTTAAATATATTTTTATAAGTGTATATGTAATCAATTATAATCATAGTTTACTATAAAAATATTTTTTATTGAAGTGATAGTACACATGGACTTGTCGTATCCGTATGAAACATTAACAATTAGTCAACTATCAATTTTCATTCAACCAGGAGACATTTTGCTCTAAAATAAAACGTTGAGAGCTAAAATGCTCCAAAAAAATATATGGGGCAAAGTGACTATTTGTGCAAATTGATTATTCTGTAAAATGTTAGGGCCTTTTTTACCTTAAAATAAAATATTGGGGCTAAAATAGAATAAGAGATAAAATGATCATTTTGACAAATATTAGGGGCTAATTTTGATATTATACCTTTTTATATGATGTATCTATCAATTGATTACAAGGAAAACTAAACCTTGAAAGTAAGAAAATGAGAGTTTAAATTAAACTGTGTCCTAAATTCCCCTATTTTCACGGCGAAATGCTTTCCTCCCCGTATCTAACACGTACCAAAGAAGAAGAAAACTTCTCCTAAATTTCAATCAGAAGTCCAAAATGCAGCAAATATAAGCTCTAACAATCTCATTTCACCTCTCAGATTTTCTCTTTTCATCCTTTCCTTCAATCCAAACAACTAGAGAACAAGCAAAATGAAGAGATTAAGAAGCTATTACATGCAGTTTCGTCACACCAACAATCAATCAATGGAGCGTAAATGGATCTTCCCATTAGCTATTGGCTCCATCGTTTCCTTATTTTTACTCTTCCTAACAACCTTAACCTCCTTCGACGGTTCCTCATTTCTTCTCTTCCACCGTTCCTCCGCCGTAGCCGGCGGTTCCTCCCCTTTCATCGAGAACCAACTGAAACCCATCCCTATCTCCACCCTCCCTCCACCTCCACGCTTCGCCTACCTCATTTCCGGCTCCGCCGGCGACGGTCGGATGCTGAGAAGGACCCTTTTAGCCCTTTACCACCCGTTGAATCAATACGTCGTTCATCTTGACCGGGAAGCTAGCTCCGAGGAGAGGCTCCATGTGGAGGAGTTTGTGAAAGATAATCGAGTGTTTAACAAAGTTGGGAATGTTAGGATGATTGTTAAAGCTAATTTGGTTACTTACAGAGGCCCTACCATGGTTGCTAATACGCTCCACGCTGCTGCGATTTTGTTGAAAGAAGGTGGAGATTGGGATTGGTTTATTAATCTTAGTGCCACAGATTATCCCCTTGTTACCCAAGATGGTGAGTTTGATCTTAGTACAATAATTTCTCTTATTTTCTATGTGTTTTTTAGCTTTGAGATTTTGGGTTTCTTTCAGATTTCTTGCACGCATTTTCATACTTGCCGAGGGATCTGAATTTCATCGATCATACAAGCAATATTGGGTGGAAAGAGTGAGTTCATTTCTTTTATAGAGCTTTTAATTTTTGCTTTTCCTATTACTTTCCTCTTTGTGTATATGCCTTTTATTTCAAGATACTGATTGATTGTTGGGGAAGCTCGGCTGTATGGTAGACTAATTCAAGGTTAAGCAATGGCAGAGAACGAGCACAACCGAAAATGTTGTAAAAAGTATAACATTTTTCAGTTGAGCTCAACATAAAATGTTAACTTTTTAAATATTTTCTGTTGAACCGAAAACGTTAAAAAATGTCAACCGAAATTGTTACAAAAAAAGGTGAGCAACCGAAAAATGTTGAGAAAAAGTTAACATTTTAGGTTGCATCCAACCGAAAATGTTATGTTATTTATAACATCTTCGGTTGAGCCCTTGCCTGCGGCTCCTTACCCTTAAATTAGGCTGCCGTCCCTTAGACATACCTTTGATTGTTGGGTTCTTTTTGTTTTTTGTAATGGCAGGTTTCAGAGGGCTAAGCCAATCATTATAGATCCAGGATTGTATAGTATGAGAAAAGCTGACGTTTTTTGGGTTACACAAAGGAGAAGTGTGCCCACTGCTTTCAAGCTCTTTACAGGTAAAGATGCTGAAAGCTTCAAACTCTATAGTTCTGTGTTTAGCTAATATATGTAGTTGTGAGAATTTTGGTGATGTTTATTTGCCAATTTTAGATTAATTTTTGCTTACATAAACACTCTGTTTACTCTTTTCTATGGATCGTTCCAACCGCGTTTCGTTCTTGTAAGTATAGTTGTTAGATATAATGATTTCGGCGAGATTTGAGTAATCACCACTAAATTTGTTTTTGTTGTTAGAATAGTGTTATTGAGGTTAACTGGAATATAGTTTTCACTTGATGGTTCTTTTGTGATCAAGTTAGATGTCAAAGTTTAAAGGCTACAAAAATCTGGGTTTTCCAAGAACAACAGATTTGACCGAGCTTTGATTTGAATTGAGGTCGATTGTTTGGACGGTGGAGAACAAACAACTTTCCAGTTCATGTTCTCTCAGCTTTCTGATTGTGTATAAGCAGCTTGTTCATGTGATTACTGAAAGGAAAATTGATTATTTTGCTTTTATGCTTCTCATATTATGACAAAATATTTCGGATTCCCTGATTGTGTATAAGCAACTTTCCACACTGCTTCCCTTGTTTAAGTAGCTAGTTGCAGCGTATGGAATAGATACACTTGAATAAAGCTTTGCTGCTTAGCATGGGATTGTTGATGAGAATTGTTCAGTGAAACCGATGCCTTTGTGTCTGTCATTTCTCGTTTTCTCCCTTGTCCACTCTTTCTAGAACGGAAAGTTAAAGTGGTGAGCTCATTCAAGTTTCCTTTGAACCAAGACTCGTTTCTCTTTGACTTTTCCTTGAGGTTATATTACTCTTTGAGTGTGGTATATTTTTCGTATTGGATGGCGGATAGTTGACACTGAATGCTAGCAGATCCTTGAAGTTTGTCATCTCTTTGACGGGAACCTAGAAACTGAAACTGCTTCTTAGCCTAAACTAATCTTCCTATAACTAAGTATTGCATTATTCCTGCTCGGTTTCATGTTGCTAGCACTAACGTGATCGTTAGGTTTCAGCTGCCTGTTTCTGCTGACTAGAGTTCTGCCTTTTCTTATTTTTGATAATTTGTAGCCTTTCCAGATGCATTTTTCTGATTCTTTGTTGCTATAATGCTAGAACGATATCATTCGATTGCCTTTTCATGTAGAATATTTTATAATGTTAAACATATAAGCTGAAGGCTCACTTTGAAACATTCTAAAGAACAATTTAAGGCAAATTAGTATAGATTTGTTGTTACAATTACCTTCAGATACTTGAACGACTAAACAAGCATGTATGATGCATGTTATGTCATGTTTGAGTTGTAAGTTGTAATTTCATTGAACTTTTATGATGTTTATAATTGTTGACTTCTGATGCTTTCGCGTTACATGCTTACAATGTTTTCAATAACTTCCATCGGTCATATGGTTATACAGAAACTTTTTGCAGTAATATGTTCTAATTTAGTATCCCTCTGTGGTAAGAAACATAAGTAGTATGCGGTCCAATTTTCGAAACATTCTCATGAAGTATCCGATAAGTATCGGATTATATCTTTGATTAAGTATATTGTTTCTGTGATAGGTTCTGCTTGGATGGCACTCTCTCGCCCTTTTATCGACTATTGCATTTGGGGATGGGACAACCTACCTCGAACCGTCCTTATGTACTACGCAAACTTTTTATCATCTCCAGAAGGTTATTTCCACACAGTCATTTGCAATGCTCAAGAATTCCGTAACACCACGGTTAACAGCGATCTCCATTTTATAGCATGGGATAACCCTCCTAAGCAGCATCCTCATCACCTCAGGCTTGCTGATATGCAACGTATGATCGATAGCAACGCCCCCTTTGCTAGAAAGTTCCCCAGGGATGATCCCGTACTCGATAAGATCGACTCCGAGCTCTTGTCTCGGGGCCTGGATATGTTTACTCCTGGTGGTTGGTGTGTAGGAAGCGGGAAGAACGGGACTGATCCTTGCTCTGTTATCGGTAATACAACAGTCATCAGGCCTGGCCCCGGAGCGAAAAGGTTGGAAATTATGATCAGCTCTCTTCTATCCAACGACAATTTTAGACCGAGGCAATGCAAGTAAACCCGAAACGACACGGATCGAAGCTTGCTGTGGGAGAATCGACACTTATTGAGGTAGGTTTGTACAAGTATCAGAAGATGGAAATGATTCAATCCAATAGTACTCAATGCTCCCTTCTGCAAGGGCTCGAAAAGAATGATAGAAATTACAGATGATCCTTATTTATTTAGATCATTGCCGCCATGATTACCGATGAACATCTAAAGAGATTATCCTTTTTTATTTAGGACAAAACTTAAAATTAAAATATCTATAGTTGTTAAAGAGATGGTTGTTGTCCCTAGTGGTTCCAGGTTCGAGCACCAACGGCTGCAGCAGAGGTGTTTAAGCTTTCATTAAAAAAAACGTCATTTTCTGTTAAAAATTCACGATCGTCTGAGTTAGATGTTAATTTGTTAATTAGGATATGATAAAATCATATTTTTAAGGATGTCTATTAGAACCCTCATTGCTTTCAAGCACTGTCTTATTGACATAATATTTCAAGTATTGACTCAACATAATATAAACGGAGAATCGATCTACAAAATACAACTCAAATGACTATAGGATACAATTTTATCATATTCTAATCAACATATTAAGGTTTAACTTAAGCAGTAGTAATATTTTACCGAAAAAAATATGAGTTTCGAATATATGAATAGTTAATTGATAATTTTGTAACTTTTAATAGTCAGATGACTCAACAAATCAACACCCTATAATCAGAGATCATATGTGTACTTTACCCTTGATTTTTAGTAAAAATAAGGTAAATTACTTTTCTGTCACTAATTTTTTTAAAAAATCAATTTCACAACCCAACTTTCAAATTTTGCTTTTTTGTCACTTGATTGTTAAATCTTTAATGTCGTTTAAGTTTTTTTTAGTAAATTATGCAAATCTCACTGAAACTTTCCTTTCAAACTCCTTTTAATTCATCAATATAGAAGTGTTTTCTTCTCAATTCCAATAGTATGGAGGTCAAGAAAGAGGTGAAGCTAGAATATATTCGACGATCCTAGTAAAACTAAAAGAGTTTTATATTTTGTAAGCGTATCCCTATACTTTTTCTTAAATTGTTGTTTACAAATATTGAAAATAGTATCAAAATGAAATTTCAATTACAGTAGAAGAATCACTAGAGATATTAAACCATTAAGTTAACGTGCTATATCACTCCTAACCTAATATCTCAATGACCATTTTGTAATTGTTCGAAAATGTAAAATTATTTTGTAGTTTTTAAAAATTTAATGACTAAAAAGACTATTTGAGCGTAGTTTAGGCACCTCTAGTGTACTTAACCCATAATTATTAAAAGAGTGATGGAATAATCCGATGGCCATGAATAATTCAAACTACAGTCCTCCGCCCTACCAACTGAGCTAAGGTCGGACTGACATCTACATCAATAACAAACTTTAAAAACTCAACTATATTTAGAGATGGACACAGGTTAGATTGGTCGAGTTTCCGGTCAAATCGACTCGACCCAAAAATTATGTACCATGTACTTGACTCGAATTCAATCTAAAAATTTTACATCCGACCCGAACCCAACCGTCATTTTAAGATAAAATTTGAATCCGACTCGAAATAAAATATTTATAAAAATATTACTTTTATTCAATAAGAAATAGAGATTTAATTGAAAAATAATATATAGAGGGATTATATTGCAATTATCTTTAAATATATAAGGTAAAATTACAATTTTTTTGGGTCGGATTGGGTCGAGTTGAATTTTTTTCACCCTAAACTCGAACCTGACCTGACCCGAACATAATCTCTAAAAAACTCAACCCGGCCCGTGCTCGATTTTTTTTAAAAAAAACTAACAAGTTATGATGATGTCAATTTCAACTCTAAAAAATGATAAACGATAACAACCTAACGATAAAAAACGTGTCATAAAAATAGAAAACACATGTCATAAAGATAGAAAAATATGTGTATAAAAGCATAACTATTTAAAAAAACAAGATATAAAGTATAACAAATTACTTAAAAAAATCGAATAACTATTATTTAATCACGACAAATTGCTAAAAATTAAATATATAATTAATTTTTATTAGGATAAAGTACACAAATGGTTCTCCGACTTTAGGATATTACTTTGTTGAGTTTTTAATAATTAAAAGTTATAAAATAGTCCCTCGACTATAGATTATTGCTTTGTTGAGTCCATCAACTGTTAAAAATTACAAATTGGTCACCTGACTAATCATATGTTCCAAACTCATCATGTTTTCGTTAAAAAATTGATGACAGCCTAAGTTGGACATTAACATGTTGACTAAGATATGATAGTCGTTTGTGATTTTGGGATCATATTTTATCATATCATAGTCAGTATGTTAATGTCCAACTCAGACCACTGTCATTTTTTAATAAAAAAGGATGCGTTTAGAACATATGAATAATCATGTGATCATTTTTTTTTAAACTTTTAATAGTCGAGGACTCACAAAGCAATGTATTATAGTTAATGGGTCATTTCATAACTTTTAATAATAGGAGGACTCAACAAAGCAACACCCTACAGTCAGGGATCATTTGTGTACTTCACCCTTTTTTTCTTATTCGAAATCCACTTAATGCTTATATAAATAGCAGCTTTATCAAGGTTTTAAGTTTGACTTATTGTGAAATCTTTGTTGGGAGACTCACCCACCAAAATCAGGTGTGTAACGCAGGTCGGTCGAAATTAGTCAATACGAAGTCTTGGAACCACGATTGCAACAAAAATATGTAAATTACTCGTTTAATATCTAAACTATCACTTTTGGCCAGTTTTAATACTTAAACTTTCAATTTTTTCAAAATCATACCTAAAGTTTAGTTTTTATTTTATTTTAATATACGTCATTAAAAACTTTAGTTTTTGTTTCATTTTAGAACTCCCGTTCAAAATTTAACGTTAAGTTTTGAAAAATTGAAAGCTTAAGTACTAAAATAGACCAAAACCGATAGTTTAGGTATTAAACATGTTAGGTTTTTAACGACAGGGTACTAAAATGAAATGAAAACTAAATGTTAGGTATGATTTTGAAAAAATTGAAAGTTTAGATACTAAAACAAACCAAAATTAATAGCTTAGATACTAAATAAGTAGTTTACCCTAAATAATAGGTATGATTTTGAAAAAACTGAAAGTTTAGATACTAAAACAAACCAAAATTAATAGCTTAGATATTAAATACGTAGTTTACCCTAAACAATAAAGTCAACTAAAGTTGATAAGCCATGGACTTTGTTTGTCCAATAATTAAATCAACCTTATCATCATATTTTAATCCATGAATAAAATATTAAGTCAAATTATAGTATTGGATTTTTTTAGCATTGATGAAATCATCATTATAATTATAATCCTCAATTTAAAAAATAAATAAATATTTAGCTTGAAAAACTCTTATTATTCAATTAATTTTGATATCTGATTTTAAAAAAAATCAAATATTTTGCTTGAAAATGTCTTATTATTCAATTAAATTTTTTATTAATAAAAAAGTCTTATTATTCAATTATATTTTTAGGATAAACTACGCGTTTAGTACCTAAACTATCAATTTTGATCTATTTTAATACTCAAACTTTTATTTTTTTTCAAAATCATACCTAATATTTAGTTTTCATTTTATTTTAGTACCGCGCCATTAAAAACTTAACGCATTTAGTACCTAAACTATCAGTTTTGGCCCGTTTTAGTACCTAAAATTTTAATCTTCTCAAAACTTACCGTTAAATTTTGAATGAGATACTAAAACGATACCAAAATTGAATTTTTTTACGACAATGTACTAAATTGAAATTAAAACTAAATGTTAAATATGATTTTATAAAAAATAAAATTTTATATACTAAAACTGATCAAAACCGATAATTTAAATATTAAAATTGTAATTTACTTTTTTTTTTAAGAGAAACACTCCATTAAAATTTTGAAGTGGAATCGGGCACAAAAAGGAAAAATAAATGGAAGTGGAGGACACATGACAATGGAGTAGATAGGATGAACAGTGTAATAATATGATATTGACAACAAACAAACTTTTGAATAATTATAGGGTTAGGGTTAGGGTTAGGGTTGAGTGGCGAATTAGGACTTTTGCTTTAGTGTCACCATTGTATTCATTCATCAATAAATTATCGACATCTGACGAGTTTCGATCTGATTTATAAAATTATTATTATTATTTTTTTTAAAAAATTGAGTTTAGATCGAATTTTCTAAAGGACGAAATTGATTATACTAAAAATATCATAAAATCAGTTGATTCATAACAGCCTAATATTATAGGATTAATTACTTATTTAGTGTCTAAACAAATTTCTAAGTCATATAAGGTAAGAAAAAAGATTTATAACAGCAATCTAATATTATAGGATAAATTACGTATTTAATGCCTAAACTACAAGTTTCAGTACGTTTTTGTACTTTTGATATTTTTTTAAATTATATTTAATGTTTAGTTTTTGTTACATTAGTATTCTATTGTTAAAAATTTTAAAAAAGTTTTGCGGGTGCCATTTTTCATGGACAAATTACATTATTCATCCCTTAACTATCTTCTTACTTCTATTTTGGTCATTAAAGTTTAAAAATTTCAATATAAATTCTCAGCTTTCAAATTACTCATTTTTTAATCATTCTATTTTATTTTATTAATAATATTTTGGGACATGATATTTATTATTATTATATTAATATATAATTAAAATAAATTAAAAATTAGAGTGATTAATTAAGAGTAAATTGAAAGTTAAGTAATTAAATTAAAAAAACAAACTTCAATAACCAAAATAGGAGTGAGAAGATAGTTAAGGGATGAATGATATAATTTACCCATAAAAAATGTCAAGTTGTAACAGTCCCATTAAGTTACGGGTACTAAAACGAAACAAAAACTAAACGTTTCATGTGATTTTGAAAAAAATTAAATGTTTAAATACTAAATCGGATCAAAATTTATAATTTATATATTAAACACGTAATTTACCCAATATTATATTCACACAAGTTTTCCTTATGTTAAAGATGTTAATAAGACAGAAAGAGATCCATTTGTACAACTGCAAATCCAAGACAAGGGTAATGCAGAGGGTAAATTGTGAGGTCTCTTAGATCCATCAACAGTCCAAAGACTAAACAAAGAACACATAAAAATAGCATCATGGTTGCACCACCTATCGACCGGCCTTCATCGGCGTGTCGTAATCCATTGCCAACGTAGCTTTCCAGCTTCTATTCTCCAATGTAACCCGGATATCTAGGATAAAGGTATAAGACAGCGATGAAGAATGAGAGAAATGAACGAGACGAGCTTCCTTGAGCACGATTAACTGGCCATGACGCTGCACGTTCAGTTCTATTCATATAATTAAACGGTGGATATTGCAACCCGAAGAAGCGGATACCGGATAAGAACCAAATTCTAAGTGTGAATATAGAGAAACTTGAACCTGTGAACCTATGCTTCTTTTGCTCTGGGCTTTGGTGATGGGTGAGGCTGGTGATATTGAGGAGCCTGATGATTGTTCGAAGCGGACAAGCTCCTCATAGGTTGTCCCTTCCTCACTACGAATCCGGCTTGCGCTCTGGTGTCTGTTTTAGCATTTACGTTGGACCTAACACGATCGGATTGCATAGTTTGGAAATAGTAGGAAGAGCTTGCCATATCTTTTAGGTTTGGTAGTGGCTTTAGGGTTTCAACAACTTCACTCATCCGAGGTCTGGTTTTCGGATCACGGCTAAGACATTGGGCAGCCAGCTGGGAAGCCTTTTGTGCACCTTTAATTGAAAAGTGGCCTTCAAGTCGAGGGTCTAAGATTCGGAAGAACCTTCTCTTGTCTCCTAGATGCGGTCTCGCCCATTCCACAAGATTGTGCTCCCCATTAGGTCGGTTTTTGTCCATCGATCTTCGGCCGGTCAACATCTCGAGTAAAACTACCCCGAAGCTATATACATCACTCTTCGATGACAAATGTCCTAAACCAATAACCGTATTTGATTAATGCCATATCGGAGGTGGACTATTTCCGAAAGGCAGAGCATAAAGAAAGATGGATATAAAGGAGAGTAAATCATCAAACATCATATCCGAAATGAAACCACGATTCTACAACGTACCGGTCATTACATATTCGGGTGCAGCGTAGCCATACGTTCCCATAACTCGAGTAGATACATGAGTTTTATCTCCTTCAGGACCGTCTTTGGCCAGTCCAAAATCAGAGAGCTTGGCATTGTAATCCTGAAAAGCAGCAAGAGTTTCAGTACAACAAAAACATAAATTTGCAGAGGGAACTTACTTAATGTCTTAATTACATACTGCATCTAACAAGATATTAGACGTTTTAAAATCCCGGTATATCACCGGTCTTTCGGCTTCTTCATGAAGAAATGAGAGACCCTTCGCGGCGCCGAGTGCGATTTTCATTCTGATAGACCAAGGAAGTGGCAAGGACCCTTCTGCACGAAAAATGGTTGTTACCAGAGAAAATTAAACATCGAACACGAAAATGCGAATGCATAAAGCACAATGATAACGAATATGAAAGTAATAACCACACTAGTTGTATGGTCCGATACATAACTCGGATACCTCGAATCTGAGGCTCTTACGCAAAATAAGAATTTACTATAATCATAAAACCCAATTATTTGATGAAACGTTTTCGCCAAACGAAAATTTTCGAGCTTACTTATTGAACAACTGAGGACATTACCTTCTAATCATAAAACCTGGATTCTCGGTTTAATCTAAGTTAACAAGCACCCTAGAAATCATGCGTTTGTTTAACAAAGTAATTCGAATATGTATGGCAGAGCTACTTTAGTGTCGGAGCACTTCGGTTAAAACCGTGATTAACATATATCACGAAACAAAAGGTCGTTACGTACTCCGGAAGAGGTGGTTCTCCAAACTTCCTCTTGGCATAAACTCGTATACCAGTAACCTGTGATCATCTTCAATGCAGTAACCAACCAATTTAACCAAATTGGGATGGAGGAGGTTACCAAGAAAATCCACTTCGGCCTGAGATACAATCGGAAACACGAAATTTATAATAGAAAACACACTCACAAAAAAAAGAACTCATTATTCAGATGTCATACCAGCCATTCTTTGTGACCCTGAAGTCCTTCTATGTTTAACGTTTTGACAGCAACGGTAAGTCCGGTACCGGGTTTCACAGGTGCGGTTCCGTTTTCCTCGATCCAGCCTTTGAACACACAACCAAACCCACCCTCACCAAGAAGACTCTCGGGTCTGAAATTACGGGTTGCTAATTTAAGGTCAATAAACGTGAACTTCCGTAGCTGCGAAGCAACTTTCAGTTCCTCACTGTATTTCGGTGTGGACGAAGCGGTTTCCGCATTACTAGTCGTGGAAGACACCGAAACGATCGGCTGATCTCTGCGTTTCTCTTTCGTCGGTTTACTTTCGGCTGAATTTATACAAACAACAAGGCAATCAGATACCATTTCATATATTGTATATGCATTTATCACACAGTAAATGTTTCCAAAACTAAATCAAATGCAGGAAAAGGATTCATATTGTTGAATTTCCCAAAATAGTAATCGCAAAACTAACCATGTAACAAATGAATAAGTAAAGCACATACATGCATGCATACATACATACATACATACATATTATTGGATTTTCCACAATAATAAATGGTAAAAACCCAGTTGCTTTCAAGTATCAACTAATCACCTCATTCAGCAAAACTAACCATGTGACAAATGGATAAGTAAAGCATAGACATACATACATACATAACAAGTATCCGTAAAAAATTCAGCTTTTTGATCAATAAATTACACGCACACATATATATACCTTTGATTAAGATTGATACTAGAAAGTAACCTGAGGTGAAAAACTATAATTTTCAAGATTAAAAAACATAAAAGAGAAATCAGAAGATTACCAAAAGGAGTAGCTGTTCTTCCACTCATGGAGTTATCAACTCTTGATCTAGAAGACACGCAACATCCCATAAACCTTAATTTAACCCAGCATCCTGCTTCTTCTTCTTTTTCATCATCTTTCTTCTTCCTTGATGGTTTTCTGCCAACAAATCTTTCAGATTGATGATGACCAAATCCCATCTGTCTAAAACCATCCAAATTGCCTTCACCAAGAAAGAACTTGTTTTTCCTCCTTCAATAAAGCAGACAACTTTTGATCTTGACAAAATCTAAACACAAGTGGTTTTAAGCTATCAAACACATGAAAAAGTTGATTTTTAGCTGTTAATCACTAAGACCCAGTTTATGAAATTTAGTCAAAAGGCAATTTTTGAGAGAGAGATAAAGAGGTGCCGCTTTAGAAAGAGGAGGGGGTGAAGTGTTTCAACGAAGGGCAGATTGGGCAGTTTGAAACAGAGGAAATGGGCAGGTTGGGCAAGAGAGAGAAACAAAGATACAATTTTTAAAACAATTTTTATTTCTGTGCTGCTAACTACCAACAGTAATCTGACTTATTTAGGGAAATACTCCAAGGAATAAATTATTTAGGTAACTATAATTTTTGTTATGTTATTCTATAAAATCATCATTTTTCATTATTTTTTTATAAATTTAAAGTGAATATAAAATAATATATATTTAAAAATCCTAAATCACTTAAAAATAATATTGGTTCTCTCAGTCAGTGATACCGAAAAAAATATATGGATTGATATAAAAAAAATTAGGTCATGAGTGGATCTCATAATCCAGGTTAAAATATATTTAAAATTCAATTATGATTTATATAGGGATTTATAAAATCCCAACCACTTATATCAACCCGACGATAAAATATATAATGACATTATTAATTTCTTGTATTTTCATTTTATTCATTTTTAATTTTATATATCGATTTTGATTTATGCCTTTTTAAAACTATTCTAAAAATATCAATCATTAATAATTTTTTTATTCAAAATTATGGATATTTAGTGAAAAAATTTCAAAATTATATTTTTTGTTATATTGTTTTATAAGTTTAAACACTTTATTTATTTTTAACTGAAAAATAAGAAATTATTGAATTTGTCAAAGAGATAAATTTCATGTAATAAAAAAAATAATATAGGAGTGATATACTTAAAATTTTTGTTTTCTTTAAATATTAGTTTTAGGGTTATCATACATGGAAAAAACTTTAAGACACGTGGAGATCCAGTGAGAGAATGCCACGTTTACATGTAGGTATGGTTGATATTTTAGGAGTTATTTGTATAATATGCCCCCAAACTATGACTCTCATTTTAAATTGATCCGTAAACTTTTGAATATTAATTTTATCCTTAAACTATGATACTCATTATAAATTAGGCATAAACCTTTTAAATTTTCTAACTTCATCCTCAAATTGTCACCATTTTTCTAAACCAGTCCCTAAACTTTTAAATCTTCCAATTTCATCATAAAGTTCATCTAAATACGTAATTAGTTTTAATCATAGTTTAACCTGAAACTTTGTTTTTTTTCAAACATATAATAATATAGCTTGGCCTAACGATTTTATTAACATGGAATGTGATTAGTATATACATATAATTTGGGATGAAATTGAAAACTTGATAAGTTTAGGGATTAATTTAGAATGAAGGATATAGCTCGGGGATAACCCATAATGTTCAAAATTCTAAGGATAAATTTAGAACAATAGTCATAATTTAAGGATAAAATTAGACTATCTAAAAGTTTAGAGATTAATTTAAAAAGAATATTATAGATTGTGGATATATAATGCAATTAATTCGTGTTTTAGTAAGAGACAAAGACAAATATCACTTTCATTGGTGTGTTTGCTGCCATATATGATGAGTGCTTTCCTTCCTCTTTTTCATCGGTTAGTGGAATTACAAATCAAAACTTAACAAATGGATTACCCTTTGCATATGCTTTACCACCTCTTTTCACATTATACCATAACTTGTTTTTGTCTCGATTAATATTCCACTCAATTAGCCCACGATATTTATATAAATGATCACTTCGCTCCCTATTTTTTTTATAGTATTTCAGTTCCAAAAGTTTTAGTTTTTTATAAAATAATATTTTTTTAAATAAAAATCGTTAGTTGATTAACGATCAACATATATTATTAACACTGTATTTTCATACATATTTAATCGATGATGTGCTATGTGTCACATCATCTAAAATGATGTTGTGACACATACCATATCATCTAATATGATGACATATCGCATGTCATGTCACTAAAGTGATGATATAACACGTGTCACATTATCAATTAAACACATGTAAAAATATCATATAAGCAATATGTGATGTGTGTTGGTCAATTAAAAGTTTGCATCGAACATAAATTATTTTGACTAAAATTGAAACGTGGGAGTTAAAATGTTCCAAAACATAATATAAGACAAAATGATCATTTGTGTAAATATTGGGACTAATTTTGTAATTATTCCATAAAGTAATATCAATATATGTTTTTTTTCTTTAAGTTCAATCGTTGTCGTAAATTATATCATAAAAATTTGGATTTATCAAATCTAAGAGTTAATTACACTACATGTCCCCAAACTACGACCCTCATTTTAAATTATTCCCCAAACTTTTAAATATTCTAAATTCATCTCCAAACTGTGATCCACATTCTATATTAGTCTCCAAACTTTTGAATGTTCCAATTCACCCCAAACTTTTTAATGATTTCGAGGCATGTTATTGAGATGTTCAAAAGCTTGGGGATCAATTTAGAATGAGGGTCATAGTTTGGGGGTGAATTTGAAATGTTCAAGAGTTTAGGGATGATTTGAGTTTTTTAGTAGGGTGAATTTTGAACTAAATTATGTTAAATTAAAATAAAAGAACTAAATCTTAACATAAATTAATATAAAAATTTGACTTTAATATATTCATATCCAAAATATAATCATACCAATCTTAAAGTATCAACAAACGTGAAATTATATATTTGTTTTATTGGTTGTCAAAGAATGTGAAGTTCCTAACAAAATTTGATATTTTTATTGAAAACATTATTTTAAACATAAAAATGGGGGCTTATCTGATCCATGTGAATGTGTCACCATTTCTAAAGCTGGTTTGGTATGCCAACACCATCTACCATACGTAGGATGACGATTAACCTGAATCCGATTGGTTTCAAATTGACTTGATCTGATAGGATCGATTTTTTTTTAAAAAAATTAGGTTTAGGTAGGTTTCAGGTGAAGGGTGAAAAACTCATACTCTACACGATCTGAGGTTAATAATGTAATTTTCTTAAAATATATATTATTATTTTTAGTGAAGTCCTTATTTAGTTTGGTTGGGTCAGGTCGAATTTATACCCTAAAACTTTTGGCTCGAGTTAGAGTCGGGGTGAAGGATATATATTTTACAAATAAGGTCGGGTCGGTCAGATGAAGGATATAAAATTTTTTGGTCGGATTGGGTTCGAGTGGAGGATACATATTTTCGACTCAGGTCGAGTTGACCAAAAACCTTACCCTAACTTGACCCGTTGCCATCCCTAACCATACGTGCAGAGACGAACACATAATTTTTTGTTAGGGGTAAATTTGAAATTTTTAAATTTTAAGGAACAAACTTTTATTAAAAAAATTTCAAGAGACGAAAACATATTTACAATAGAAAATACATAAATAAAATAAAATTTATAATAGTTTTAAACTTTTATGTAGACAATTGTCGTCACCCGTCCACTGTCAATCCATATCTACATACGTGGGGAAGAAAGGAACAACACATCCACACGTGATTGTATTTGGGTTGAAATTAAATTATTGATTTTTCAGAAGAAATTTTTTAAATTTTTATTGTTGTGCTTAATTAAAATCAGGTAATTATGCAATCGGTGACTCAATTTTACAAATTTTCATTTTAGTCATCAAAAAAAAGGGTTCTGAATTAGCCATTGCGGTTGAAGATCTTTTTCATTTTAGTAACACATCGTTAAATTTAATAATTTTTATTTTCCATTTTCTTCATTTGCGTTAAATTTTATTTTTAATTTAATCAATCGCATTAAATCGGATATAATGCAAGTCGTACAGGTATTTTTTTACTCTAATAAATAAATTAAATATTTTATCATCCAATAACATGATCTTTACCTAAGAAAATGAATGAGTTCCATTAATAAGATAAGTCCAAGTTTCTTTTATCAAATTTATAAAAATTGAATGGCCAAATGTGTAATTTGCAATATTTTTAGAAAACTAAAAATAAATTTTGCTTTTTTTCTTAAAATTTTCTTTAAAAATTCTGTCTAATAATTCTATTGCAGGGTGGATGTTTTAGTGGAGATCCGATCAACGTCAAACGACGACGGGTTGCGTAAGTTTAAGGATTGAAATTGAAATTTTCAAAGTTTTGAGATTTTTTTCTAAGGGTTTTCAAAATTTTTAGTTTTTTATAATATATAATTTATTTTTAATTTTAAAAAAATTATAAAATTACCAAAACATGACACATGTTATTTAATGGTAAAATTTAATAATCGTTACGGTTTGAACACCTAAAGTGATGACATTTATAACATTAGACACATGGATGATTCAGAAAAATAGTAAATCTTAATATTTATTTTATAATTAAACCTTTATTAAATATGGTATGTTCCAACTATCCAAAATTATCAAATCCTAAGGTCTCCAATTAACATGATGGCATCTTGGAATATATATGCCACTTGCTACTATTATTGGACCCATTCTATTGATTTGGCACCACTAACATACCCCCACCCATAGCACAAATTTTACATTGCTCAAAATGATGTCCCCACGATAAGCTTCTGTTTTATTAAATTTATTAAAAGTTATAAAATTATCTTTTATCTATATAATAATATTTTATTAAACCCCTTAATTATTAAAAATTATAAAATAATCATCAGACAATTTATATATTCTGACTCGTGATTTCTTATTAAAAAAGTTAAGGCAAAATGGTAATTTTTGACTCAATTTATCAAATTTGCCCCAATCGTATTTATACTTCAATTTAGCCCTTGAATTTACTCGATTATATCATTCTATACCCTATCCCTAACTTAAAACTCTAAATTATAAACCCTAAATATTAAATTGAGATTTATAATTTAGGATTTTAAGTTAGGTGTAGGGTATAGAAGGATGCAATAAAACAATTTTGAGGGTTAAATTGATGCGAAAATACGATAAGTATGAAAATGATAAATTGAATCTACTATAGGGGTAAAGGTGACACTTAAGCCAAAAGTTAATAATATGAACTGAACGTTAACTTACTGACTGTGATATTATAAAATATAATCTTAAAATCTCGAACAACTATCATATTTTAAATAACATATTAACGTCAAACTCCGGCTGTCATCAAATTTTTAACGAAAAAATGAATTTAAGCATATAATCAAGTACCAATTTTATAACTTTTAGTAATCAATGAAATCAACAAAATAATATCTATAATAAAAATATAATTAAATTTTATAATTTTTAATAATCAATAAACTCAACAACATAATATCTATAATAAAAAATTATTTCAAAACTTTTAATATACAAAGTACTCAAACAAAGTAATGTCCAATAATTATTAAATTAAATTCTATTATTAATTAATGTATTACATATAAATTATGGATTTTATTTTTTTCCTTCATTTTGATCATATCAAATCCATTTATAGTCGTATTATTCTTATCATATTTGAGTCAAAACTAAAATTTTAAAATAAAAACACACAAAATTTAAAAATAATAAAATCGAAGTATTAAATTAAGGGTAAACTAGACATTTAATACTAAAACTACCTTTTTGGGCCTATTTTAATACCTAAATTTTTGAATGTTTAAAATATCTTGTTTTAATAATTAAATTTTAAAAAATTTCAAAAATTAATATTTTTGAACAAAGTACTAAAATTAAACAAAAACTAGAGTATTTAATGGAGAGACACTAACATAAAACAAAAACTAAAATTTAAGTATGATTTTGAAAAAACTTATAAGTTTAAGTATTAAAACAGAACAAAATTAATAGTTTAAGTATTAAATGCTAGTTTTTCGTAAGATTAAATCTACAATTTACTCATAATTTAGCCATTTATATAAATTTACCATAGGGCAATGCAAACTCAAAAACCGTAAGCTTCATAGTAAATGCAGAACAATAGGTTGAAATTTAACAAAGGGTAAACTACGAATTTAACACATAAACTATCAATTTTGATCATTTTAATACTTAAACTTTCAAATTTTTTCAAAACCATGCATAACATTTAGTTTTCATTTCATTTTAATACTAAAAATTCAACTCGTAAAACAAAAACTTCAATAATATTTGGTCTTACAAACGTAAGGTCTCATAGGCAGTAACAAATTTGATAGAACTATTTATTTATTATGAGAAAAAAAAAACAGAAACTCAGAACACAAAGCAGACAAGACTCACAAAAAGGAATATACGAGACTTACAGCATTAGATTCATTCTCTCATGCCATCTTCACCATCTTCTTGTTCACTCAACTCGAGATCGGCGAGCAGCTCTTCCAACGGGACGGAAGGAGCGTCATCCCCATCCGACACGGACACCATTTCCGACAGCTGGTATTCCCTGTTGCGGTACAGCGATAAGTTGAACCTTAATTCCGGGTTCTCTTCCAGATCTCTCAAGAACTCTTCGTAATCCGACTCCACCTTCTGTTCGTTTCCTCTACCTCTAAATTCATCAACTTCCATCTCAAGGGACTTGAGCTTCCACGGACGAGGTTTCCCGCGTTTCTTCTGGCGTTTTTCTTCATAGCTCTTCTTTATCAAAATTGCCTCGGGAAGGACCAGTCCTTTATACTTATCGAGTTCGATATTGTTACTGTTGGCCCCATAAAGGTCGTAGCCGAGAGCGCGGTCTCCAGGCTTTAGAAGATGGCCTAGATGTGTCCTTATGTAAAACAACTTTCCGTAATCACTTACACGAGCTACCTCAGCATCTGCAATCACATATTTGGATCCCCCGAGATTGTATTCAGGAGATACAACTTCGATATTAAAGATATCATATTCCACCAGCTGCCTGCTACCAAGTAGAGACTTAAACGAGTGCCTCCAATACTGTTCTGTGTCCAAGAAACACTGCCTCAGAGTAAGAGGATCCAACAGCGTAATGTTGTTTGTCACTTTTGTGCAGATCACAAGTGGACCGAGATTACCCAAACTAGCAGCCACTTTCGGAGGCAAACAAATCAGATCCTCACGGCAAATGGGGGATATTTCAACCGAGAACGTATACTTATAATTGTAGTTATTACTCTTAGAATCATGGGACACAAGCTGTTTGTCATGTCTGCTCCTTGTCGGAGCAACTTTACCTAAAAATTCCACAAACTTCACAGCATGACTCCTGTTAGCGAAGAACAAATCGATACCCTGATCCATTTGCTTGATCTTAATGGCATGGACAGCAGCATCATGTTTCAGGATCAGCTGCTCTAGATAAAAGAAAGTCCGCCTGTGTGTAACACGCTGTCTGATCTGCACAGAAGCCACCCACTGATCAGGGTTGGCCTGAATCCTCGTACAAGATTCACACATGTGATCTTGCTGAACATACTCAACGACGTAAGACTGCTCCAGAATAGCCCCGTTGAGAACCTCCTTCTGAACTTTCAGCTTGACCTTGAGTCTCTTCGAATGTGGTTCTGTCCAAATGAATTCAGCATTTACTAGCCTAACTTTTTTCAAATCGGTTTCCAACCGTTTCACACAAAATGTCAAGAGCTCCTTCGATTCTAGCTGAGCTTTTATCCAAGTTCTAGGGGGCTGCAAGTAGCTATCACACTCGGGACAATGCATAATGGTCACATGCTTCCGTAAACCTTCTGTGATGTCGACTTCGGACCTCAAACAAGTCACGCACATGTTGGCGGGATTTGGTGCCATCGAAATACCGCATTTGCAACACAAGACGGTACCTCTCGTCTGAGGAACCACAAACATATTCGATGCCATTGCCACTGATTCAAAGAAAATATCAAAATAATAAGCATATAACAGCTCAAAGCAACATACATCAATGGCGGAAAAGTCTAATAATTAAAAACAAGAGAAACAAAATCCCCAATTTAGAACAAGAGAAAAAAATGTAAAAAAGGATACAATCGCTAGTGTTCAACATATTTAACAAGACACTAACCTATCTGCAGCCACGGCTGCTCGTCGGTGCAAAAGAAAGATGAAAAAACATACGGTAAACTGCACATTTAATACCTAAACTATCAGTTTTTATCTGTTTTAGTTCCTTAAATTTTGTTTTTTTTCAAAATTATATCTGTTTAGTTTTTGTTTCATTTTAGTAGAACTATCTTATCGACTTCAGTAACTAAACTATCAATTTTCAATCCGTTTTAGTACCTAGACTCTTAAAATTGATGATTTAGGTACTAAACGCATAATTTACCCAAAATCATATTATAAACAGCTCAAAGAAACAAAAAGGGCAGAATACGAAAGATAACCCTTTGATTTTCACAATCGTTAAAAAAAGGGTATAGTTTTTTTTCTTGAGAAAACTAAGAAAAAAACCCAATTTAGAACAAGAAAAATCCAGATTTCCCATAATTTTAATCAAATCAAATAAATTGAATTGTAAGAACAATACCTCAATATAACGTATTCAAATCACGCCAAAAGAGCTTAAATAAAAAGAGAATAATAAGACTGAAGAAATTTATTGAAAAATAACTTACCGTTACCACCGACTATTGAAACACCGCCGATTAGCAAAATGAAAAACGAAGGAAATGAAGTTGGGGGTTGCAAAACCCTAGGATATAGAGCCACAGGGGGGAGGCGAAAGCCGGTTTTGATTCTGTTTCATTTATTTTATTCTTATTTTTGATGGGCCAAAGGCCCAAAGTCTCTCAAGAGGAAAATTAAGAGTTTGCATTGCCCTTTGCATGGTAAATTTATATAAATGGCTAAATTATGAGTACATTGTAGATTTAATCTTAGGATAAACAAGCGTTTAATACCTAAACTATTAATTTTAGTATGTTTTAATACCTAAACTTACAAGTTTTTAAAAAAACATACTCAAAGTTTAGTTTTGTTTCATGTTAGTATCCCGTCATTAAAAACTCTAATTTTTGTTTAATTTTAGTACTTTATTCAAAAACTGTCTCCTCTGCCGAACAGACGGAAGTTAGCAGCTGCTAACTATGGTTGAAAAACCATTATTCGTATATACTAATCACATATCTTGTTAATAAAATCATTAGGCAAGTTATATTATTATATGTTTGAAAAATAAAATAAAATTTAGATTAAACTATGGTTGAAATTAATTATATATTTGGATGAATTTGGGGATGAAATTGAAAGATCTAAAAGCTTAGGACCAATTTAGGATGAGATTCATAGTTTGGGGATGAAATTTGAATGTTAAAAAGTTTTAGGACTAATTTAGAACGAGAGTCATATTTTAAGGACATATGATGCAATTAACTCAAATAAAAATGACTATTTTAACATTAAGCATGAAAGTTAAATAGAATGAGGGGTATAACTCAAATGGTAGAATGTTTTGTATACGAGAAATGAGACCAATACCATGCATTCTCACATTTGATTCGTTCAAAAATGATAAATTTATGGTAAAAGAGTATTAAAGGCCCTCGTGTTTTTCAAAAAAAAAATCAACGTGTCCCTCAACTTTTTTTGCATCAAAAATGGCCCTCCAAGTTAAAAAAAACCTCAACATGGTCTTTTAACATTTTTGTCTTTGATCAACGGCTCCGTCACTTTGTGCTGACGTGAAATGCTAAGCAGGCCAAAATGCTATTTTTTTTCTCAATATGACTTCAAACTTAAAAAATGACTCAATCTGACCCTCTTATTTTCTCTCTCTTCTATTTGGTTATTAAACTTTAAAAAAATTCAATTTAATCACTCAACTTTTGAATTACTTATGTTTTAATCATCATTATTTATTTTATTAATATTTATGTATGATGTGACATTTTTTATTTTCAACCAAAGATTTCTTTTTTTTCTTTCATTACCAGGTTTAGTGAATCCAAATTGAACTTGAAAAAATGAAAAAAAAAACTGAGGATGAGCGAATCCAAATTGAACTTGAAAAAATAAAAAAAAATGAGGATGAGCTACTTGATCGGGTAATGAAAGAAAAAAAAAAAAGTAATCTTTGGTTGGAAAGAAAGAAAAATGAAATGAAAGGATAAAGGAGGAGAGTGGAGATTTGGAAATCATAGGGAATATTTTTTTAATTTAATTATAATTTTGATTTTTTTTGTTTCAATATAATTTTAAAATTTTAATTTAATTATATTATTTTAATCATATATTAATAAAATAAGAATAATAAATGTCACATCATATATAAATATTAACAAAATAAATCATAATTATTAAAACATGAGTAATTTAAAAGTTGACTGATTAAATTGGAAAAAAAATTAGTTTAGTAACCAGAATAGAAGATAAAAAATAGGAGGGCCAAATTGAGTTATTTTCTTGAGTTGGAGGGCCAGATTGAGAGAGAAAAATATGATTTTGGCCTGTTTAACGTGCCACATCAGCACAAAGTAATGTAGGCGTTGGTCAACGACGGAAAACATTAGTCAAATGATCACATTGAGTTTTTTTTTTTTATTTGGAAGGTCACATTGGATGAAAAAAAAGTAGAGGGCAACATTGATTTTTTTTTGAAAAAGTACGAGGGCCTTTGGTACCTTTCTTCCTAAATTTATTTATTTATTGATAAATTTTCATGCTTTTACGTTGTGAAAATATATCGAAAATCTAAACCCCAGTCACAATAAATCAACCATCAAATCTATGTTTTTAAACCAAATTCGAGCACCCAATTCGTCTTGCTTCCGGTGTGTTCTATAGTACTTGTCATAGTGTTGTGTTTTAGGTATGTTAACTACTTGATTTAATATATCGATTAATCCATATCAAAACGTTATGTATGATTTTTAAAAAATTAAAAATTTAGATATTAAAACAGATTAAAACTGATAAGTCAAATACTAAACGTATAATTTATCTTTTTTATGTTTCAGAATACGATTAACCAACATATCAATTAATCTACTAATATCTTTTAAAGAACGATAATTGATTTTATTGTATATATTTCAAAAGTTTTTAGTATTGACGTATGCGTAGTGCCACGTCAGCAGAAAGTGCATACACATACTAACGTGGTATATTTTCATGTTAGTAAAATGCCACATCAGCATATTATTTAAATTAATTTTTATTAAATTATTTATAATTAATTAGATTATGACACATTGAATTCTATAGAAAATCGTATTTGATGAAAACAAGTATTTACGGCTTAAAGTCAAGTCGAGATACTAAAAAAACTACAAAATTTGATTAAATCTATCCTAATCGATTAATTAATATGTTGGTCAATCGTATTTTGAAACATAAAAAATGATAAATTACACGTTTAGTATCTAACCTATCAATTTTGATCTTTTTTAATATCTAAAAGTTAATTTTCTTTTTCAAAATCATACTTAATATTTAATTTTAGTTCCCTGTCATTAAAAAATTTAGTTTTTGTTTTATTTTAATATCCGTTCAACATTTAACGTTAAGTTTTGAATTTTTTTTTGAAAGTTAACTACTAAAACAAACCAAAACTGGCAATCTAAGTACTAAAAGGGCTACGTTTTTAATGATGAGGTACTAAAATGAAATAAAAATTAAACTTTAAAAATGGTTTTGAAAAAAAATTAAAAGTTGAGGTACTAAAATAGACAAAAACTAATAAATTAGATACTAAATGAGTAGTTTAGCCTGAAAATTACATTGAAGCCATGGGAAACAGAAGTCTCGAGGAAGATGGCGTATTTAAGCGCATAGAAAGCAGTTTCAACATTAAGATGACAAACTATAGATCATTATTAGTAGTAGAAATCCCAGATGTATATGTACAATATATAGAATCAAAATGTTTTATGCCTTTTCTCAGACAGTGTATGCTTGTTGAATCGTGTCGATGTCGAGACCCTTCAGTCGAACGACGGATTCGACGTGCCCTTTTAGCGTTGTCAGCTCTCTCAACCTGCAAGTAGAAGATGGAAATGGTTGGCATTGATCAGACATTGCCCTCAGTTACACATACAAAAACTAACTGAACTGAATTCGAGTTCTGAGCTCCGGGTTTATCGACGGTTTCGATTCGAGAGTATAGTTGAACTTAATGGATGCATACCTTGCGATTTCGGCTCGTCTCTTTGCCTCTTCAGCCATCTGATTAAGTTCATTGTAACTGGTTCGGTCATTGAACATCTTGGTGTCTGCTGGCTGCAGTCCATGGAGTGTCCTCTGAGCATGTGCCCATTTTAGTTCACGTTCTTCTTTACCGAAGTCTTTCTTCCTCGTGAAAGCGATCTGCGAAACGACGACAGAAATGAAAGATCGAACAAGTTTCTTAGACAACAACAATGTAGGTTACTGCATCGGTTGAAAAGTATTCGTACTCTTTGTTCGATAACGAGGTCCCAAGCCTTTCCACTGAGGGCGTATCGGATGAAGAACTTGATGAAGTCGAGTGGGAAGTAAAAGACAAGGTTGTAAAGCCATATCACGCCTGCCCAACCCCATCCGATTCCTTCTATCGCAGCAAAGCTCCAGTTTGCATAAACGGCTATTAGTGTAGCAACCTGATCATCAAACAAAAACCAACGAATCGATAGAATTTTCTTCGTTATTATTGGTTTAACCTAATCGATTCATACACGGCATCTAGCGAGGCTATCTCCGGTTCCTTGCATTGCAAGCAAAATAAACGTGAAGCTTACTAACCAGCTGAGCAACAATAAAAGCCGTAACGAGTAACAGGCCGGGACGCTCAACGAAAGACCAGCTCCTTGATCTTGTTACAAATATGAGAGCCTGACTGATAATGCTCACTTGGAGGTATACCGCTGAAGCAAGCATTCTTATGTCCATGCGGTCGGTTTTCTGAAGGCTCGTAACCCCAAACGTACGCTGCGACAGAAAACACACGATATCTTACCGTAAGCAAAAGCGAATAAGGGCAAACCAAGATTATGAATGATAAAGAAAGAAAAACACGTATCATCGAAATGTAATAATGCGAAAATTATTCTCTTACAGGGAAGAAGTCTGTCTTGTATGCTGCCCAAAAGAAAATGACAGTCATCATGGCTAAGTAACCACCGAGAATGATTCCGGTTGTAAAGATCTCTGCTAACTTCCAACTGTCCGGCAGAGGAGATGGTTTCACCCGATCCTTCGATATTGTCATAATGGTTCCTGCAGATCAATGATTTCGTTGGAAACTCTTCGACTCATATCGGACACATATTCAGGTACAGGTAGGTCCGTACCGGACACATATCCGAGTTTCATTCAAGCATACTAAAAGGACTCAGAGAATTGAAGTTTGAGCATATGAAGAGAAGCAAATACTAACCATCATTAAGGATAGCAATAATTAGGACCATGAATGGAGGGAAATCAAACTGCCATATCAATGCCAGTAACATGAAACCGAGCTGTTGAGGAAGAACATGGAATATCCAAGTCAGAATCAGGCTATTTTAAGCGGAATCTATCGACGTGTTCATATAGCGGCGACATTTCAGAGATAATGCCAAACTTACCACAATACGGATTGTAATGGAGACTGCATATATCTGTGAAAACGAAAGAAATCATATGGCTCAATCAGACAACAATGTCAGTCAAGTTTCGAATGAATAGCATATGTAACGGTCTAGACTCACTGTGTAATTTTTCATCCTCTGGAATATAGCTCGACTGGTTAGAACGGCACTGATAATGACACTAAGGCCAGGTTCGGTCAAGACGATGTCTGAAGCACTACGGGCTGCATCGGTTGCATCGGCCACAGCTATGCCGATGTCAGCCTTCTTAAGAGCAGGAGCATCATTGACCCCATCACCGGTCATTCCACATATATGTTTTCTGGCTTGCAAGCGCTTCACAATCTCGTACTTGTGCTCTGCATCAACAATTGTATGAAAGCCACATAAGAAAGCGTATTCTAAAACCGAAGTCGAGCACTGTGTTATCAACAAACTGCCTCCAAACATCGCGTAATGAGATGGAAAAGGAAAAGGTTAAGATACCAGGGAAAACACCAGCAAAACCGTCTGCTTTCTCAATCAAATCATCAACTGGCAAAGCAGCAATCGATTCTTCTTTGTTTTGTCCTAACAAAGATGATGATGGATACATGTTGGTTCCCATTCCGAGACGGCGTCCGGTTTCCTTTCCTATCGCCAGCTGATCACCTAAAGGTTATTGGATCAAGAAGACAAAGCATAAGAAACTACTCTACGATTTCTCATGACAGAAAAAATTCTCAGCCTGATACAAATAAATCCATTCACTAAGTACATCGAAATAGTTTGACACTATCAAAATAAGGACATGCACCTGTGATCATCTTCACATTCACTCCGAGATTCAATGCCCTTCGTATCGTGTCGGCACTGTCATGTCTAGGTGGGTCAAACAAAGGCATCAAGCCAATAAATTGCCAAGGACCTCCCGAGCTCTCCTTTCGTCCATCAGGAACTTCCTGCAGGTTGATCGTTGAATTTAGCCAATAACGTTATCGATTTCATAAAACAAAAGAAGGTATCAAGTCCGTGAAATTTCAGACTACATTATATATTTACCTGATATGCTACTGCAAGTGATCGCAATCCACGCTCGGCAAACTTATCGATTACTGCATGAACTCGACGTTCCAACTCTGATTTATTGTGTGCAAGATTCAAAATCTGATAATCACATCACATAAATGAATTACTCCGAACGGTATTACACTACGGTTGAAATATATTGAGTACTACAATATGTGAACCTACCTGTTCAGGTGCACCTTTGCTAACCCGGTGCATTCGACCTTGATTATCAATGTATGTAAGTGCCGTTCGCTTATCAGTTGGATTGAATGGAAGGAAGTGAACTTCTTGATACCGGCTCGTGCCTATGGAGTTTTCAGAGGCAATAGCAAAGGAAAAAAATTAATAGGAAAAATATTATATCAAAATTGTTGGGTTGAATCATGTTTGATATATTAACATTGAGGGGCATACCTCCTTTGGATCAGCCAACATCCCCACTATAGCAGCATCTATGGCATCCTGGTTTTC